CACCAGAGCCCTGGCCTGCATCTCCAGCCCCAGGTGCGTGCAGAGAAAGGCCTTGGCCAGTCCCAGGAGGTGACCCCTAGGGCAGCAGGTGAGCCTGCAGAGCAGTGATTCCAGCCCCACTCGCACCCCACAGGCGAGGAGGAGCCCCCCGACCATGACAACCCCCATCACTAGGTTCAGGCACAGTCCACCAACAGAAAACGTGGGAAACATTTAAAAGCCCAGATCCGGCCTCCGGAGTATGGCCTCCTGATACTGTTTCCTACTGGGAAGAACAAGGCTTCCTGGAGAAGTGGCTGATTTGAGGTCCAGGGTGGAACACGTCCAGGCACCCACAGGGTGACAGCGGAAAAAAGGACCCTTGCAGAGCTTAGCATATTGGGGGGACCCAGGAGCCAACTCCGACCCCTACAGCCCGAGATGGGACACCTGGAGTAGGTGAGCCCACAGCCTGAGGAGTGTCCTACTGGTCAGGGGCTGTCTGGCTGCAGCGCTGTGTGTAGTCCCTTGACTTGACACAGGGGGACAATCAACAAGGGGACCCTAACCCCAGGGCCCCAGGGCCACGGCTCTGCTGGGGCCACCGCCCACTGTGAGCCAGGAGCTAGGGTGCCTGGCCAGCCATGTCTCTCCTGCTTGAACACCGTGCTGAGCCGGGCAGCCCTGACGCCATCGTTAGCCTTCCTCTCTGTGGTAACTGTTGCTTCTGGTTTCTTTTACTTTCCCTTTATTTCCCTCTTTTTCTCAAAAAAACACAAAATTAGTGAGCGGTCCCCCCCACCCCGTGTTTCATTTTGAGGGGGCAGGTTCCCTGGGCAGGTTCTGAAGCCCTGCTCTGCCCTTTGTCAAGATGGCCCCAGCCACCTGCGACCCCACACCTTCACACGCGCTTCAGACTCAGCTGCCCCTCCTACCGGGAAGCCGCTAGGACCACCGGGGCCTCCTGGGGTCTGCAGGTCAGCACTGGGGGTCCTGCCCTGGCAGCGGCGGCCAGTCTGAGGGTCACGAACAGAGGGTGCTTTCCATGTCCTCAGAGCGCGAGCCTTCCAGCAGTGTCCACAGTGTCCAGAGCAGGCGCTGGCCGCTGACCTCTCTCCTTTCAATCCTGCTACTTTTGGATTTGGTTGGCCCCTCCCCCTCCCCCAGGAAATCATCTAAGCCATCGCGCCACGTCCGCATCCATAGAGAAGCCACAGATTCCGCGTCCCAGGGTGCCCCTAGGTTTGTGGCACC